AATTAGCCGGGCATGGTGGCGCATGCCTGTAGTCCCAGCTACTTGGGAGGCTGAGGCAGCAGGATTGCTTGAGCCAGGAGTTTGAGGTTGCTGTGAGCTAGGCTGACGCCAGGGCACTCACTCTAGCCTGGTCAACAAAGGGAGACTCTGCCTCAGAAAAAAAAAAAAAAGAACAAATGGAAACACTTTATCTCAAATCCCACTTTCCCTAGGAGTCCAATATTAGCAGCTTAATGAATATATTGGTTTAAATATTATAAATGTGATATACAACTGTTTATACTAACTGATGCTATTTAAATAAATAGATTTAGCCAAGGAAGGATGAGGTGGCTCAGGCCTGTAATTCTAGCACTCTGGGAGGCCAAGGCCGGAGTCTGAAACCAACCTGAGCAAGAGCGAGACCCCCTCTCTACTAAAAAATAGAAAGAAATTAGCCAGATAATTAAAAATATATAGAAAAAACAGTTAGCCGGGAATGCTGGTACATACCTATACTCGGAGCTACCTAGGTGGCTGAGGCAAAAGGATTGCTTGAGGCCAGCAGTTTGAGGTTGTTGTGAGCTAGGCTGAAGCCATGGCATTCTAGCCTGGGCGATAGAGTGAGATTTTGCCTAAAAAAAAAAAAAAACAAAAAGGAAAAAATAAATTTAGCCTACATCTCATATTCCTACATCCCCATATTCCAGAGCACAATGCTAATGCACACACAGAGTAAACATTTCCATTTCTCTTCTTCAGCTCCATCCTGTTCACACTATACATGGAGTTTGATGCCCTGAATTCTTGACACAACATTGGACAGGGGGCACTTCCTATAGGATTAATATACATGGGGAATATGATATAGTTTTTTAGGGTTAAATTTCATAGAATTCTTCAACTGTTAATCAAATCATAAGAATAACATATATCTGGAAAAGAATCAGTAAATGGAGCAAATACCTAGAAGTAAAGTAATCATAATCTTGAAAGTTTGATAGTTCACTGATGTTTGATCTCTTGCATTCGGCTCTTTTGTATTTACTATTTAATCGTGTATGTGTGGGCATATGTGGACAGGTTGTCAGGATTTATCAGTATTAATTTTTACTTACAGGATACATGTAAAATATCCTTGTAACTTGAGTTGCTTCTTTCTATCATAGTTTTCTCAGGTTCTAAACCACATAAGCCTTGTCATGTCATTCAATACGCTTCAGAAAGCGGGATTTTCTGTTAAGGAGAATTTGGAAATAGCATTGTGTTTGCATAAAAATTAAAAGAATAATCTTAATATCTTGCATAATTGTAGAAATGCACATGTTTTAAGAAAAATACATCTTGTAATATGTTATTTGCTCAATTTTATATTGTGATGATGTTTGTTTCCTGATCTTTTTTAATTTCAAATGTCAGCTTTTCTCATTTTCGACATTTCCAGACTTCAGACAATTTTAAGTAAAACTTGAAGGCAAGCCATTGGAAATATCACTCTAGAAAGTTACACACTATTAATTACAAAGTTTGAACTTTCCAGATAATTCCTTCATGCCTATTCACTCTTCTGAATCCATATTTTTATGGGTACAACTTGAATTAACCATGTATGTAAGAGACAAATAATGTCAGACTTAATTTTTCCTTTCAATTTTTTGGTATTAGCCAACTAGAATGGTTTAATCCCAAAGTTACAACATTCTGCATTTTCTTCCCTAAATCAAAGGTGTAGGCAGTTCCCCTAATAAGGACTTGGAGAATGGATTTCAATCTTCCCAAAGACTTAAAAAGACTACCTGCTATATAGCTGAAGGGAATCTGGAAAATGGGCCCTTTTCTTCTTCCCACCCTCACCCTTACAAAAGAAATTTCAATGATCCTCTTTAGCCCCACCTCTCTACTTTCCTGTGGAAGTGTAACTGTGTGATCACTTTGGGAAGGCAGTCTCTGAACAAAGGGTATGACACATTAAATGTTAACTGATGTTGTCCAACTGACTTGTCAAAAGGTGAACCGATTTCCCAATTGTGAAACATTTTCTGTCACAGGAAGCTCACATCTAAGCAGGAGACTAAATCATCTTTCACTACTCTAACAAGCCAAGTGCTGACAGAGTGAGGACAGTAGAAGAGGGGAACCAGAACAGTTCTCACTTTTGCAGCAATTCTCAAGTAATCCTAGAAATATTCACCAAGTTGGGAATAAGAAGCACGGATTTGACAATATTTAGCACCAACACAATGGCCATCTTGTCAGGCTTACTAGATATTTTTCACCTGGAACTCTTATACAGCGTTGACAGAGGAGAACAATTGTTAAGTATGAGGAGTACTGCTAGGCTTCAAGGACCTAAGCATCCTCTGGGAGAACCAAGGAAGAGATAAGCACCCCTCACCCTCCTCCTCCCACCTCACCAAGAGAACTGAGAGAGGAGTAGGGCCTTTGCCTTAGGCAGGAGAAAGCAGATGCAAGTCACTGTCTTTGCTACCTCTGGGCCCAGAGAAGCTGATCTGACCTTCCTCATAATTTTTTGTGTCCTTTGTGTCTGCCTCTGCTCCCCTAGGAAATGATATGACTCTTCTTGGCTTAGTAGGGTGACCGCCAATGCTTCTCCATTTGTTCTCCTTGCTCAAGGCAACGGGGTCCAGACTTTTGTTGTATACGAAATCCCCCAGAAAGCACATGTGCTGTTCTATCACCTCAAAATATGCTTTTTTTGTTTATAACTTTTTTAAAATTTCAGAATATTATGGGGGTACAAATTTTATGGTTTCAAATAATGCCCTTTCCCCCCATGCCCCAACAAGTCTGAGTTTCCAGCTTGACCATCCCCAAGATAGTGCACATCTCACTCATTATGTATGTATATACCTGCCCCCTCCCCTCTCCCATCTGCCCAATACCCTATTACTGTAGTTCTTATGTGTCCACTTAGGTGCTGCTCATTTAATGCTCATTTAATACCAGTTTGCTGGTGAGTATATGTGGTGCTTGCTTTTCCATTCTTGGGATACGTTACTTAGTAGTATGGGTTCCAGCTCTAACCAGGAAAATACAAGATGTCCTATATCACCATTGTTTCTTAGAGCTGAATAGTACTCCATGGTATACATATACCACATTTTACTAATCTACTCTTCAATTGATGGGCACTTTGGCTGTTTCTACAGCCTTGCAATTATGAATTGTGCTGCTATAAACATTCGAGTGCAGGTGGTCCATTTGTAGAGTGTCATTGGGTCTTTTGGGTTGATGCCCTGTAATGGGATTGCTGGCTCAAATGATAGATCCGCTTGTATCGCTTTAAGGTATCTCCATATTGCTTTCCACAGAGGTTGAACTAGTTTCCAGTCCCACCAGCAGTGTAGGAGTGTTCCTCTCTCTCTGCATCCACGCCAGCATTTGTTTTTTCAGGACTCTTTGATAAAGGCCATTCTCACTGGAGTTAAGTGAAATCTCATTGTGGTTTTGATTTGCGTTTCCCTGATTATTAGAGATGTAGAACATTTTTTCATGTTTGTTGGCCATTCTTCTATCTGCTTTAGAAAAGTTTCTGTTCAAGTCCTTTGCCCACTTCTTGATAAGGTTGTTTGATTTTTTTCTTGCTGATTTTCGTGAGTTCTAAGTATATTCTAGTTATCAGCCCCTTATCAGATGTGTAGGATCCAAAAATTTTCTCCCATTGTGTAGGTTGTCTATTTTCATGAATATTTCTTTTGCTGTGCAGAAGCTTTTTTGTGTATACTACACAAACTAATCTACAGATTCAATGCAATATCTATTAAAATCCCGTAATCATTCTTCAGAAATATAGAAAAGATAATTTTATACTTCATTTGGAACCAAAGAAGACCCCGCATATCAAAAGCAATTCTAGGCAACAAAAACAAAATGGGAAGTATTAATATGCCAGATATCAACCTATACTACAAAGCTGTAGTAATTAAATCAATCTGGTATAGTAACAAAAATAGGAATATTGACCAGTGGAACAGATCTGAGAATCCTGATATAAAACCACCCTCATATAGCCATGTAATCTTTGACAAAGCAGACAAAAACATACACTGGGGAAAAGAATCCCTGTTCAATAAATGGTGCTGGGAAAACTGGATAGCCACTTATAGAAGGCTAAAGCAGGACCCACACCTTTCTCACAAAAATCAACTCACGCAGGATAACAGACTTAAACCTTAGGTATGAAACTATTAGAATTCTAGAGGAATATCTTGGAAATACTCTCCTAGACATCCGCCTAGGCAAAGAATTTATGAAGAATACCCCAAAGGCAATCACAGCAGCAATAAAAATAATAAATAAATGGGACATGATCAAACTAAAATATGCTTTTCTGTGCATACAGTGACGCTGCTACCACAAGAAGCCCAGGTTCTATGACACCAAAACAAGGTAAACTGGCCTGTACATTCCTCTGAGGGACAGATAGGAGATGAGGGGCCACATGTCCTTCCCTAGGCTATGGGAGGTTTCCTCAACCAAAGTCCCACCCAAGAACGTCATGTACCTGGAATCCTTTCTGCCCCTCAATAACAATCGCTGATATGTGGACATCGCCTTTGTCATACCAGCATTAATCCTGTACCGAGAGCTCCTGGAATATCTGAAGAGAAGCCAGAGAGGCCCAGTTCCAGGCCAGAGCCTACTCAGCCTCTCCACTGAAGGACCCTTATAAACCGAAAGTCCTTAGGGGTATGAGGTAATATAGCATACAGTGTTTGAAAACTATTTCCGCACGATGGCAGTAGTGCTCCATGAATTATAACAAGTTCTGCTCCTTGGCCCTCCTCTCCCGCCCATCCTGTCTGAAAAAACGCCATCAAGACATAGAAGAACCAGGAAATATGGTAGCCTTCCATTTTGCCCAGCTTCAGGAAACTTCATCAGGCTGCTGCACTTTTGCCTTTGGTTTCCATCTAAAACTTAATTTAGGCCTAAATCCACCACTCTTATCAGGTGTATTCTTTATTTGAGAATTAAATTTCCAAAAGGCCTTGCCTTACCAGTTTTGTTCTTCTTCATTCAATGTTAAACTTCCAGCATTTACCCAGGTTATCAAGTTGTCTGTTTCTGAGGTGCAAGTCTCCAGAATGCAGGCCTAAACAGAAAAAGAAAATGCTGAAAACTCAAAGATAGCAGGACATCCCTAAATTACAATACACATTTCCTTGCCAGGCTCATCCATCTCTCAGGCTCCCAATAAATTCCACATTTTCTGGATAAAGACCTCAGCCGTAAATGTTGAATTATGGAAGCCATGGCTAGAGTCTCAAGAGAAGCACCCAGAGAGTTCTAATTACTGTACATGCCATACAGTGCCCTACATGGCAGGATATATAATTCCAATCAGAGGAATACTCAAGAGTTATATCTTGTTATTTCATTTACCATTGAAAGACAAGAATTTGCTCATGTCATTAGATGACCTTCGATTGCTTCCTATGACTATGGGATATTTGTGTGGGGGAGTGGTTCAGAACTGGATGTGCATTATCATTTATATCTTAAGAAATAAGCCTTAAAACCATTTTCTCAATAGTAACTAAGACAGAATGTTTCCTAAGGATTTGGAATAACAATGCACTGTAAAACAGTAAAGCACTGTCATAAAACCTATTATGACCTATTAGATTACGTTCCTCCACTCCTTTCAATACACAAAAAATGTTATATTTATATCCATATACAACAATAAATTTATATTAAATTTAATATATAAAATTATATATATTAAAATTGAATGTTTGTACATTATAGTTTGCATAGAAACTGCCATGCCTGATTTTGGGGTAATTTGATAATATTATATAAAATTGTTAAGTATTCATTTTTCCTAATCATGAAAAATGCTTTCTATTGCCCATTTGTTATATATTTTACATGTAGTATATATAATATGCTACACATAGTATACACATGTATGTGCATATTTATTTCAATTTAATTACGTTTTGACTCACACTGGGTATAGATTTATACAAAGTGTTCTGTACCACCTTATGTAAATTACATGGTCCAATATCAAAATATATTTTCCCTTAGCTGGAAATATCTTTATACTGTATTCTGGAAAGGAGTTTCTCTTCCAAGGAATTACAAAAGTAACACTTGCTGTTGGCAACCTTTCCTTTTCACATTTTAAGAATTTGAATTCTAAAAATTTATTAAATTTTATTTAATAAATAAGCTAAATTAAATATATAAATAAAATTAAAGTTTTAAAATTTTTTAAATAAAAATTAAAGGAGTTTTCTTGGAAGGAATTACAAAAGTAACATTTGCTATTGGCAAACTTTTGACATTTGAAGAATTTAAATTCTTAAAATATATTAAATTTTATTTAATAAATAAAGTAAATTAAATAAATCAATAAAAAATAATTTAATAAATATTTATTTAATAACATTTATTAAATTTCATGACTTAAAAATTATAAAGACAAAATTAATATCTCAATGACAACTAGAAGAAGTAAATTGTAAAATTCCTTGCCATACATTCATACATCTTCCCTATTCATATATAATTTTAACATGAAGTCCCAGTTGCCTTGTACTTCAAGGATTCAGAAATGCTTTCCTCACATTATAGTTTGAGGTCTTTGAAAAGATCATTAACTACTCCTTAGAATATGCAATATTTATAATGTTGCCTCCCTCTCTATTTTTACATTTCTTAGAATTAAAGCATACCTGTTTACAAAATAACCAGACACATTAGCCATACATAAAGAGGCGCACTGAGGTCACAAGTTACACTCAATCAAGCAGACAATGGTTTTTGAAAAACACAGTTGTCTTGAATCCACCTGTTTTCTGTGATCAATTAGAGATATAAACACATTAGGTCTCAAATAGCCAAGAGATCAAGTTTTCACCAATAATTTCTTCTGCACCTATTTGTTCTTAGTTGTTTTTCAAATTACAAATATATTATCAGCTTCTTGAAAAATCTATCAAGAATACACAACATATCAAGAACAAAAGGAAACATTTTATCTCAAATTCCATTTTCTACAGGAGTCCAATATTAGCAGCTGAATGAATATATTGGTTTAAATATTATGAAAGTGATATACAACTGTTCATAGTAAGTGATGCTATTTACTAAATAGATTCAGCCTAGGAAGGGTGAGGTGGCTCAAGCCTGTAATCCTAGCACTCTTGGAGGCCTAGGCGGGAAAATCACTGGAGGTCAGGAGTTCAAAACCAACTTGAGCAAAAGTGAGACCCCGTCTCTACTAAAAAATAGAAGAAATTAGCCGGACATTTAAATATATAGAGAAAAAAAAATTACCTAAACATGGTGGTGCATGCCTGTAGTTACAGCTACTCAGGAGGCTGAAGCAAAAGGACTGCTTGAGCCCAGCAGTTTCAGGTTGCTGTGAGCAAGCCTGACACCATGGCACTCTAGACCGGGCAACAGAATGAGAGTCTGTCTAAAAAGAAAAGGAAAAAATAGATTTAGTCTACATCTCATCAATATATTCCCAATATTCCTGAGCACAATGCTAATGCACACACAAAATAAACATTTCCCTTTCTTTTCTTCAGATCTATCCTGGTCTTACTATACATGGACTTTGATTCCCTGAATTCTTGACTCAACATTGGACAGTTGGCACTTCCCAATATGATTAACTATACATCGGGAACATGATAGTTTTTTAGGGTTAAATTTCATAGCATTCTTCTACTGTTAATGAAATCATAAGAATAACATATATCTGGAAAAGAATCAGTAAATGGAGCAAATACAGAGCAGTAAAGTAATGATAATCTTTAGAAGTTTAATAGATAATTCACTGATGTTCCATCTCTTGCATTCTGCTCTTTCATAATTACTATTTAATTGTGCAGGTGTGAGCATATGTGGACAGGTAGTCAGGATTTATTGGTATGAATTTTTACTTACATAATACATGTAAAATATCCTTGTAATTTCAGTTGCTTTTTAAAATATCCTTTTAACTTCAGGGAATTTTAACCTTAGGGAATTTTATTCCCTAAATAAAAGTTGTGGACAGTTCCCCTAATAGAGACTTGGAGAATGGATTTCAATCTTTCCAAAGGCTTAAAAAGACTACCTGCTAGAGATTAAAGGAATCTGGAAAATGGACCCTTTTCTTCTTCCCACCTTAAACCTTGCAAAAGAAGTTTCAATGATCCTCTTTAGCCCCACCTCTCTACTTTCCTGTGGAAGTGTAGCTGTGTGATCACTTTGGGAAGGCAGTCTCTGGACAAAGGGTATGTATGTCAAATGTTAACTGATGTTGACCAACTGACCTTTGAAAAAGCGAACCAATTAATAATACTTCTCACCTGGTAGGAGCCTGTCCAATCCTACAAATCATTACACAAACAGTGATCTCAATGGCTTCATTCTCAAGTGACTTGCTCAAGTTTATGATGATGAGTGAGGGGCATTATGGAAGAACTTACTGAATTGCAATTCACTTCAGTACTGGTGAATTTGAGATTCTCTAATAATACAGAGAGGTGACTAGGCCATTTGCCACATTTCTGGCTGGGTAGTTTTCCTTTTAACTTTTCATTTTGAAACAGCTTTTGATCTGACATGAGTGTCATAGTTTGGACAGTATTTAGGGTTAGCAATAGTTACAGTATATTGCGAATGGTCCTGGTGCATTCTTGAATTCCTGGGACTTAGCAAGGTGCTACTGCTTTGTGCTTCCATCAACTCCATGGTCAGATGCAATCTCTTAATGAAAATCAAAATGTGCCTGAATACAACATTCTGGAGCATGAGAAGTTCTAAGGCTCCGGCTACCTCTTTGTCACCCAAATTTCTAACTCCAGATGTGATACACTGTCTTCGTACATCTGGTTTCCCTAGTCTAGCATATGGTCAAGTTAAATTATTACCGCACAACAGGCAGTTTACCTCATCTGATACAAGGTTTCTCTCTGTCACCTGCTTAGCTGAAGTCGCCTGAAGAGGTCAGAGGTCATCGTATACACCTTCATAGGTTACTTGAGACCATTGACACATGCTTTCTCCAGTGTCTCCAACCTCTCCTTGGCTGATCTCAACCAATAACATCCTCAAGGACAGCTAGACCTAGCAAGGACACCTGAAGAGCCAATTACCGGAAGCGAAGGACCGGAAGCCCCTTGGACGTTGTAATATTTACTAGACACTTACTGGCAAGAGTTATAACTCCACCTGGGTAAGCAGAGTTCAGGTGGTGATCATATATTACAGAAGTGCACTAGAATAACATTCCTTATATATAAGTACATATATAACCAGTATGCATGAACAGATATAAGTATGTGCAAATATTGGTACATGTATTTATAAACTAGTGTATACAGAAGCACAATGTTTGTTGACAATTACTGCTTAAACACTAGTATATTTGAGTTCTTTTTCATTTATTTAATAAACAGTTGGAATTCTTCTTTTGTGAATTGGGTATTTAATTCCTTCACTCATCCTGTCTCTGGTTTCAATACAACAGAAACCAACTGTAAAACATTCTCTGTCACAGGAAGCTCACATCTAAGCACAAGACTAAATCAACTTCCACTACTCTAAGAGGTCGAATGCTGACAGAGTGAGGATATAGAAGAGGGGCACCAGAACTGTTCTTAATTTTCCAGTAAATCTCAAGTAATCCTAGACATACTTCCCCAAGTTGGGAACAAGAAGCACAGATTTGAGAATATTCGGCACCAACACAATGGCAATCATATCAGGCTTACTAGATATCTTCACCTAGAACTTTTATACAGTGGAGACAGAGGAGAACAATTGTTAAATATGAGGAGCACTGCTAGGCTTCAAGGACCTCAGCATCCTCTGGGACAACAACTGAGAGATAAGCACCCCTCACCCTCCTCCTCCAACCTCACCAAGAGAATTGAGAAGGGAATAGAGCTTTTGCCTTAGGCAGGTGAAAGCAGATGCAAGTCACTGTCTTTGATGCCTTGTGGCCCAGAGAATCCCTTCTGGCCTTCCTCATATTTTTTGCCTAATTTGTGCCTGCCTCTGCTCCCCCTGCACATGATATGGCTCTTCTTGGCTTAGTAGGGTAGCTGCCAATGCTTCTCCATTTGTTTGCCTTCCTCAAGGCAACGGGGTCCAGCCTTTTGTGGTGTATGAAATCCCCCAACAAGCACATGTGCTGTTCTATCACCTCGAAATAACCTGTCTTGTGCAGTGTGGTGCTCCTCCCACAAGAAGCCCAGGTTCTATGGGTGCAGAACAAGGTGAACTGGCCTGTACCATCCTCTGAGGGACATGGACAGGAGACAGGGGCCACAAGTCCTGCCCTGGGCTCTGGGA